GGTACTGACCTAGATGGATCTTTTTCTAACCCAGTATGATCACTCTTACTTCCTTATATTTGTATGGTGACAGAATGCCAATATTTGTAACCACAGCATCAATACAAAACAAATGATTTATGGACTTAGCTCAGATCTAAGCCTCTCGATAAAGTCAACAGTACAGAATAGAACAAATCTGAGGGAGGCTGTGCAGCCAGGTCCATTCATGGCTTTAGGGTTATTAGTGGACAAGGGTGACTATGCAAATGGAAGTCCCTAAAAATAACTCCAGTGTATGTTAAAGCAATTGGAATGTGCTAAAAGGACTGGAATAATCAATAGAAAAGAACAAAGCCAATATAACTGGAAACTTTTTGTGAACCTAATTTCAAAAAAATGGAAGGTAGGAAGCATGAAAGTGGTTGGTGGTTTGTAGAAACAACGTGTAGGAAGAAAAATCAGAAAGACAGAGGAACCAAAATATGAGTCTCATAATGAAACTAAAAAACTAAAACATGTTTTAACTGCCTTCATTGCGACAAAAGAACTCGGGGAGAAATGGGACAGTAGATCAATTCCAGCTGAAGTAGCTAACTAAATCAAAACTTATAACTTTGTTATTTGCTATTAAAAACTGAAAATGTAGATTTCCTGGCCAGTTAGTTTAACTTAATCAGCAGGTAATTTATTAACTTCATCAACTGTGGTGAGGGAGCAAACTCTTAAGCAGGTGTCAGAGGCCAGCATGCTGAGAAGTAAAAGAAATCCTTAAGTGTTGTGGGAAATAGAGGCATGCAGCTGCTGCAGCCGCCAGGGAAGGTGCTGTGGCCGTAACACTCTCCAGACACAAGTAGAGAAGGAAGGAAGTGATGATGGGTGGTTATAGGTAAGGGACAGAAAGGGGAACATTATTTTTCAGTCACCCCTCTTTGATGTAAACCTTGTGATTGTTGATCCTTTGTATAGTGCTTAGTGTAACTTAGTGTAGCTTAGTGTAACTAAGTGTAACACCAGCTTAGTGCTCTTTTGTCTCAGAGCTATAGGGGCACACAGAAAGTGCTCAATTCGACATGGAGCATTGTTTACACTGGCAATTTGCACATCTCTACCATGGAGGTAACAGTGCTGCTTCATATGTCGTGTGTCACTTTTGAAAACTGGAATATTATTAGAAAGAGGAAAGGTGAAAGAGGATGCAGGGAAGTGAAGGTGGAAATACCAGGAGACATGACCTCAGCTGAGGGGAAACTCAGGTAAATGTGCACTACTCGGGATTAAGCCAGCAACAGGGCTGGATTTATAATTATTTGCAAATATTTGAGTCATAACATAGAATATCAGGGATCTTTTTTGCATCTATAGAACAAAATAAAGGATTATTTGTTAGTCTTCCATTAAAAAATTAGCAAGGTTGGGATTCACAGCAATAGTTGCCCTTCTCCCATAAAAAAAGGGAGCATTGTCACCGACTTGTGTCATGTCTCTGCATCTGAGTTGACTTCCTAGGTGCAAGTAATGTGTATTGAATTTTTGGCCATAATCTGACTCAACTCTTTTCTTGTACAGCACTGTCTTTGCATTGCAGGCCAATACTGCTGGAGAAGTAGAGGGATACCACCATTTCATTTCACACAGCCACACAAGATGGTGGTAAATTGTAGTCCCTGCTAGTATGGGATGAACTTCAACTAGAATTAGAGACAAATGCTCCATTACTTCCTGCCAAATCTGTGCACAACCTATAGTCTTTAGAGGTGTTTCCTCAGCCATCGCGTCAGTGAGGTAATGAACGATCTGTCCCAGGAGGAGGGAATTGTGCCAGCTCTTCTTGTTAGATCACACAGCTACACAAGATGGTGGTAAATTGTAGTCCGTGCTAGTATGGGATGAACTCAACTAGAATTAGAGACAAATGCTCCATTACTTCCTGCCAAATCTGTGCACAACCTATAGTCTTTAGAGGTGTTTCCTCAGCCATCGCGTCAGTGAGGTAATGAACGATCTGTCCCAGGAGGAGGGAATTGTGCCAGCTCTTCTTGTTAGAAAGAACAGCCCCTATTCTTATGCCAGACATTTGCAGGGTTTCCGTTCTGTTCCTCTAAAAAATGATATCTCAATCCAATATAGTTCAGTAAAATTAAAAGGTGTGGTCCTATTTTTCTCCTTAAGATGGTTTATATATTTCCCCATTTGGCCAGCCTAAGGTGCATTAGCTAGGAATAGACAGTAAATTAGCTAAAATCTGGAAGGTCTAATGAAATGGAAAACAGTGTGTCATGCAAAGTTTAGGTAGATGTCAAGAGCTCTCTTTCCATCCTATAATAAGTGCACAGTCAAAGTCACCTGGTCCTCAGGTCAACCATTTTCTGAGCTATAAAGCCTCCATGAAGAGACGGTGAATTTCTCCCCATCCTCTATGGTTTATTGCTTATTGGCCATTTGTTATATTGGAGTTAATTAGTTGGAAAGGGAAGCTTGAAGCAAAGATTGACAGGCAGCAAGAGAGGGGCAAAGCATACTCAGTATGCAAAAGAAATGAATAGAGAAAAGAAAGGATTTTGTGGGTCACAGCTGAAGTCCAGACTGAAAATTCTTAGCATACAATGGACTTTCACAAAGTCCTTGAAGTATGCATACATTCAACCAGCCTACTAAGAAGTGCAGGTTTATTTGGCCCATAGTTTCTTCAAGTTGACACCCAATTGACAGTTATAAAAACTCAGTAAGCTGTTAAAACAAAAACCAAAACAAAAAGAGAAAAAAAACCCAGGCAGACATCAGAACTGACACAAAGAATGTTAGTGAGCACTATTTTAATGGACAGTATCAGGATACCCAGCGGCAGAAGGTGTCCTGTCGACTAGACAGAAATATCGATAATTCATCTATGCTCTCCTATTCCTGAACAGAGGTTTCAGAGCAAAGAGCGTAATAGTAAATAAAAAAATGTGGAGGGACAGATTCTCAGTTGGAGCAAAATATCATAGCTGATTTGGATGGAATGGAGCCGTGATAGTTTTCAACAATGATACAATTCTGTATTTTCACATAAATGCTGTCCCCTGTGTTGGTAAAGGACAACACATGGAAATTCCTCATGTTCCTCTGTTCTGGCAGCAACAGCTGGCAGACTCAGTCTCCTGGAGGCCACAGGCTGCTGCGGAGCAGGTGAACATCCAGAGAGCTGAGCTGCTGCAACTGCTCCAAGATGCACGTGGGATGGGCTGCCCCCCGTGGGTTCAGGGGAGCTTCACCGCTGCCCTTCCAGATCTCTGAGCAGCAGCGGTAACTCTTCGGTTACCTCCATCACAGTCTGTGTGAGCACAAGAAA